TAGTAATATAGTCTGTGTTGTGTATTTTACTATATTACTACAGAAATACACAACACGATACTATATTACTACAGAAATACACAACACGATACTATATTACTACAGAAATACACAACACGAGACTATATTACTACAGAAATACACAACACAAGACTATATTACTACAGAAATACACAACACGAGACTATATTACTACAGAAATACACAACACGAGACTATAATACTACAGAAATACACAACACCAGACTATATTACAACAGAAATACACAACACCAGACTATATTACTACAGAAATACACAACACCAGACTATATTACTACAGAAATACACAACACGAGACTATATTACTACAGAAATACACAACACCAGACTTTATTACTACAGAAATACACAACACCAGACTACATTACTACAGAAATACACAACACCAGACTACATTACAACAGTCGTGTTGTGTATTTCTGTAGTAATATAGTCTGTATTTCTGTTGTAATATAGTCTCGTGTTATGTATTTCTGTAGTAATATAGTCTTGTGTTGTGTATTTCTGTAGTAATATCGTCTCGTGTTTTTTTTGGTTTATAATATGGACAAGTTAAGTAATCCAAGAATTTTCAAAAATGTTTGTATAGTTTTAACAATGTGTGTTCCCCCAGCTTTTTTAAGGTGTCACTGTAACCCTCTATAATAAATAGAGGGATCATGTTTTTTAACATAGATAATGTATGTTTCAACTACATGAAGACTATAGATCATAGATAAAAAATGCACAAAGTTAACTTTGGTGGCTAAGGAAAAGATGCCATTATTGTATTTATTAAAGGAAAAACTTACCACCATGACCAGTTAATAATTATAAACATAATAACCACATCTTGTATGTCATAAAGAATGTACATCCAGACTCTGTTAAAATCATTATTAATAGGCCTGCCTGTTTTTTTCCACCACAAGATCTTACTTTTCGAAGCTGCAAGAATCAAACTTTTCTTTCAGGCATACTGTTTAAAATATTGTGTTATTGTTGGACTTGAGAATTTGGTAAACCAGTGGTCATTGATGTTTGGAAGCTTTGCAGGTTTAAATCAGTCTCTTGTGACAGAGCATGTTCTCTATTTAGGACTATCGTTTATGGATGTGTGTGTGACTGAAATCATATGAGAAACATCCTTTTTTAAGTAAGATATTTCAAGTATCTGTCTATGGTTTCTGTATGTAAAAGATCCAGTAATTGTATATGTGGCCTGGCATTGAATTATATAAAACTGGTACTCTTATTGTCAGGATCTTCTAACACCCCTCCTGCCTTTCCACCATTGGCTTCTCTGATCATTGGAATTTAATGCAGTTGTGTTAAGATAGCTAAACTTGTTTCACATACTTATTTGATTTGTGTGCTGGCTGGTTTTTTCATGATTAATTCTATTTTTCCCATATTTATGCCTAGTATTGTTTACATTTTGTACTCTTTTTATTTTGATGTACATCTTCCATTTTAAGGTTTCAATTATGGTTTATGTTTAACTACAGGTTATATCCTCTTGAATTGCCCCTTTTATGTTTAACTACAGGTTGTATCCTCTTGAATTGTCCCTTTTATTATGTTTAACTACAGGTTATATCCTCTTGAATTGTCCCTTTTATTATGTTTAACTACAGGTTATATCCTCTTGAATTGTCCCTTTTATTATGTTTAACTACAGGTTATATCCTCTTGAATTGCCCCTTTTATGTTTAACTACAGGTTATATCCTCTTGAATTGTCCCTTTTATGTTTAACTACAGGTTATATCCTCTTGAATTGTCCATTTTATTATGTTTAACTACAGTTTATATCCTCTTGAATTGTCCCTTGTATTATGTCCATTTCATAATTCTAAATAGAATTTGTAATTTTGTTGTTTATTTTGATTAGTTTATTTAGTTTGTTTTTTTTACTGGCTTGGAAGCTTCTACACTTGAATAAAGTTTACCTTCATATCTACAAGATTGTATTTCACTCATCACAGTGATTCTATATTTATACAGGAATTTCAAGAATTGATGCTATCAATTTATTCTTGTGAATTATTTAACCAACAAGCTGTTTAATATACTAAATATAAATGTGCAGTATGATGTATCGATTCATTTACTATTAGTTACAAGAGTTGTATTGGTTTCCACTCGTATCACAAAAATACGATACTCTGTAACTCATCTCTCACAATACGAGTTCACAACCAGAATTTATACAACAAATCCTTGAAAATACTTAGAACTTCTATCAAAATTTCCAATAGTTACCACCTCTACAAAAGCCCTCAAAGTAATAATCTTATTTTTGTTTCAAATTGATTTCTTAAACCTATGTGTTTCCTTAACACCATGATGATAATTCCACCCTTATCAGTAACCATGGACGAGGGCAAATCGACAGGATACGAATAGGCTTTACATAGTAGTGGATTTTATCTTTCCGTGATATAAGAAAAATTATTACAGGGAGTTAACTTGTAAGTTCAGGGGTGCCGAGATAAGGAAGGAGGAAAGCTGTGACGATTGAACTGACTAGAAAAATAATAGTTATTTAGGTATATTCAGATATGTTTTTATAAATTTGCATGCAGACTTTCTGCCCTTGTAAGCTGGATGTAGAAAGGTCGTAAACTTGCTGTAATCCTCTTGTTCAATAAAGCTTATACTTGCTTGGCACCGTTTCTCCATCATGCCCTCCTTGGAGTGAGGTCATACTCATTTCGATGGATAGTACAGACTTTTACAAATTAATAATGGTTTGGTAGCTTTCTCCATTAAATATATATATGTAAAAGGAATGATCATTGACGTAGTTAATGTGGTTGAAAGGAATGATCATTGACGTTGTTAATGTGGTTGAAAGGAATGATCATTGACGTAGTTAATGCGGTTGAAAGGAATGATCATTGACGTAGTTAATGCGGTTGAAAGGAATGATCATTGACGTAGTT